GGCAAGTCTTCCTTACAGAAGAATCCAAATTAAAAAATAGGTAAGGTATGAAGAGAAAAAAAGAAAACCACCACGAGAAAACAATAAAAACTACAGTAGTTATAATCTACCAATGAATGCTAAAATTGAGCAAAAGTTCAAAAATAAAACAGAGTACTTGAATTCCCTTAAAATATCTTCCCAAAATATTTATAATTTACGAAGTGAGAAACAGTAATTTTATAGTGGAGAAACCTGGCACGTATCACCTTGAGCAAAGAACCAAGGTTAACATTAACAGTAATAAGACATACTGACATCAAGGATGCCAACTGGATATGATACACAGACAAGGGCATATTACTTTTGCATTATTTTTCCCAGAAATGCATTACCTCACTCTAATCATGAGAAAACATCAGATATTTCCAAACTGAGGATCATTCTACAAAATACCTGACAAGTACTCTTCAAAAGTGTCAAAGTCATAAAAGACAAGAAAAGGCTGAGGAACTGTTACAGACTGGAGGAGACTAAGAAGACACAACAACTAAATGCACTGTGGGATCCTGGACTGGATCTTGGAACATAAAAGGAAATTAGTGGGAAAAGTGATGAAACCTAAATAAAGTCTGTAATTTACCTAAAAGTTAATCAACAGTATGTACCAACATTAATTCTTGGTTTTGTTAAGTGTACTATGGTTATATATGATGTTAACATAGAGGGAGTGGATAAAGCACATATAGAAACCTTTGTGATATTTATGTACCCCCTCTATAAATCAAAAATTCTTTCAAAAGTTTTTTTAAAAATCTTAGATGATAAAAACAGTACTAGTTGCAATACTTTTTTTTTTTTTTTAATTAGACTCACTATCAACTTAATCTGAACTGTGGGTATTTTCCAGTGAATATTACTTTATCTCTGCTCTTACTTTATGCTATGTCAGTCCTATAACATAATAAAGTTCTAATATTCTACAAAAATGGTTTTTCACTTAATTAAAAACACTTAATTTCCTTTTGATACCCTGAAAATGACTAGTAATCAGAATTTCATCTTTAATTATATAAGCCTCAACAGAGCTTTCTCTTCAATAGAAGCCAATATTGTTACTGCTTACAGCATAAAAATAATTTAAATAAAATCCTTACCTTCCAACCACTGCCAGCCTCTCTATAATAGGGGAAGTTATCACAAATCCACTGGTAAATCTCACTTAGCGTCATTTTCTTTTTGGGTGAGCTATTAATTGCAAATGTAATGAGGCTGGCATAACTGTATGGAGGTTTCCCATCTTTGTGCTGTTGGACTTCTTCCTGGTCCAGGGTTGTATTTGGGTCAAGGAGTGCATTCTTCTTGGAAATTCCCGTTCCATGTGCATTTTGTGTAGCATCAGATTTTTGGATGGCTGCTCTCATGGTAAGCTGTGGTAACCAGTCCATAGATGTTAGGCTGCTCTCCAGTTCAGATGTCATCCTGAAGGTAAATAGACTCCTTAGTCAGTATCAAGGAAAGAACCCCTGCTTCTCAAAATATCCAATATTCACAAATCTAGGAGTTCCAAAGTGAGGGAAAGTGAGTTAAATCTGGAGGGAAAAGATTGAATATGTTAATGACTAAACCAAATATTTAAGAGATCAGCATTTCCAATCTTTTTTCTTAATTTTTTTCCCTCTCCAAAAGAACAAATTTGGTTTTTAAATGTTTAAGATACAGAACAATACATACACACAAAGTGTTTCTGATGCCAATCTTTACTCACTAATACCACAGGGCCTTTAGAAACTTAAGGCTATACATCTGGCATTTCTTTCGCACAAATTTTAAAGGAGTCATACAAACAAAAGAACACCAAAAGTAAAGTAGAGGCAAGAGGTCAGAAAAGTAACTGAGAAATGGGCACAGGAATTTGCCTAGAAAAAAGAGCGTAGAGTTGAGCAGGTGGGAAGTAGGAAAAGTAAAGCAGGATAGACAAGAATATCAAGGAGACAAACTAGCTGCGGGAGTAGACTGAACGCAAACTCAAAGACACTGATAAAACAAAAGAAAAGGAGGATAGGCAGTACCAGGCAGTTTCTTTTAAAAAACAAGTCAAGGAACAAGGTTAAGAAAACTAAAGATCTGGGAACATTGGATCTAAGAGAGAAAATCACATAAATGAACAGCAAGAAAAAGAAGTATTAAAAGCTTGAGGACAGGCTTAACACAAATATCCAGTGATCTGGGTTCTATATTTTACTCCGAGGCTGGAAAATTCAGATCATTACCACCCGAAGAAAGAAAAAAGAAAAACAAAATCTGCCAGGTTAACACATTCTGGAGAAGGGAGGAAGCTGTTCTAAGAATTAAAGATAAAAATACAGAAACTAAGCATGACACTTTACACTAGAATCTACACTTTTCAACAGAGGCACAGACCATCTTATCCTAAGATCAAAGAAGCAGGGAAAGTGACACTGACTATAAAGTAGAGAAGAATGAAAGACTTCTAAGTGATATCAAAACAAAGGAAAACAAACAAACAAACAAACAAACAAATAAATAAATAAATAAGAAACTTAAAAGTACCTCAGTCAAGAGAAAAAAAATTTGTGATTAAGAAAATCCCATATAGGTCCCTCATCCCAAATGGCTGCAGGCAAAAAGCAACCTGGATATGTCCTTAGGATCAGAACCTTGGAGTCAATATAGAATTGATAAAGAGCACAGGCTCCTGAGTTAGGCAGACCAGAGTTCAGGTACTGATTCTACCAGTTACTAGCTGTGAGACCATGAAAATGTTAGTATCTCTAAACTTTCATCTGTAAAATAAAACAATAATAGCACTATAGTTAAACTATTACTTTGAGAATTAAATGTGATAACATGCATAGAAGAAACATTCAATAAGTGTCAGTTAATAATCTTACTCTAAGAGAATACTGGGAGGGTAGTTACGCACTATAAATCAGATTAAGCATTAGCAATTATAAATCAAGAGACAACCCTAAGGATTCTATCTGTACTGTCAGTAGAGCCCAATTGTATCCTGTTTTTCAGATATTTGACCCACGGTTTTACTTTTCTCCTTTTCTCAAATTGTCTCCATCTTATATGCATTTCTCTAGAACCTGGACTTTAAATTCTTCTATAAAGTGCCTTCAGAAATCTTAAAAAAAAAAAAAAACTTACCAACTTTCTCTATCTCCGCCATAAATGCTTGCTCTCAGCATGAAATAAGTTAAAAGAAGTTGTAGAACAAGGAGACAAGAGAATTTAAAGATCACAGAATGTCAAAAGAGTTGGCAAAGTACCCTAGAGATTAGGGAGACCAATCCCTTCAATCTAAAGATGAAAAACTAAGGTCTACTGAGGTTAAAAACTAGGTAACAGAAGAACTAAAACCAGAGGCCAGATCTGATGCCCAATCCAGTAGTTTTCCTACCATACCTCATCTGTAAAATGAGCTTAATAATCATACCTACTTCACTGATATACTCAGAACAGTGAATGGCAAATAGTAAGTATTCAATAAATGTTAGCTACTAGTAGTAGCAGTGATAATAGTAGTTGCTGCTATTATTACTCACATTTCATTCTATAAACATTGGCTATTATTATACTATGCTGTCATCCTATTTGCCTCAATTAAGTCTCCACTGAGTAGCTTTATTTTGTTTAAATTCCCAAAGCAGCCAGTCACATATATTTTCAAAGTTAATACAAAAGCACATTCCAAATTGAAATAGTGCAGATGCCCCCTACTGAGAACCATCTTTAACTTGTTTCCTTTCACCAGTGCCACTGAGTTTACAGGAGTCTCAGTAATATAATAAACGTACAATAAGTACATGCTTAATGTGTTATAACATTTAACAAGAATTTAATATTACACATTTGTAAAGGGCTATGCTTGAGTGAAATTTTATACACACGCACATACAACACATGAATAAGTTGTGGAACAAGGAAGAAAGAAGGTAGAAGTAGGATAAAATTCCTGTCTTTCAGGGACTATAGTGAAAGTCAAACACAAGAAATATCTAAAAAAAAAAGAGTGCAAGACTGGGCTCTTGGTGCCGTAATAGTTCTGAAAAGGGAGGACAACATGGACTGCAGCCTTAAATGGTAGAGAAAGAAAAAGAGGTAGCGAAGGAAGAAGTTCAGCTAAAATCTGAAGATCTAAATAGGCTGTAAAGCCACTGAAGATATAATGAGTAAGAATTATTCCACTGTTGTGCTTATTTTCATCAATTCTGCTACAGCAGATTTGAAGTGCACTATAAAATCTCTCTTAAATTTAAACTCTGAAAAAATGAGGCTTCTGTTTTGTTTGCAGTTTGTCAAATTTTATATATTCTTGGTAATGAGCTAAAAAAAAACAAAAAAAAGCCTCCATTGTTGGTGCTCAGGCTGGTCACTGCAGTGGTTCTCCATTAAGCACTGAGAACACAAAACATTAGATTTGGCCAGATCATCAGTAACTTTAGAAAGAAATCTCTTAGTGGAATGCTGATGACAGAAGTCCACTTGTATAAGACAACAGATGGTAGTAAATTTTAAACAGCATAGTAGGCTCTGAGGAGTCTGGTTATGGAAATCTGATTAGGAAATGTCAGGCCCTCATTATCTCGCATCATTCCAAAAGCTTCCTGGTTGGCCTCCTAGACTGATTTCTCATCACTTCTCCTCGCTAATCACCTCCAGAGTCCATGTATACACTCGAAATCTGTCAACATTGTTTTCAAGTCATCATGCCCCAAAACATTCAATGGTTCCCTTTCTTCTATTATGCTAAATTTAAACTCTTCATTTTCAACTACCTTAGCTTTTATTAATCTTTTATTAATCCTTCTCTAATTGCTTCTTGGCCTTTTAGCTAAGATCAAGTGTATTAATCCTTCTCCAAATTCCTAGAGCATAACTTCGGTTTGGCATTTACCATGCTGCTTTATATGTATAACTGCATCATATGCCTAAGCTTTCTACCTTCACTTCCTCTTCCCCCACCCTCCCCATTAAGGACAGTGACCTTACACTAGTACTTCAAATGCTACCTACTACCATGCCAGGTACACATTGCCTGAAAAATGACATAATAGTTAGATAAGGAATAAGAGTCTTCCTTCCTTCCCACTTATTCTGCCTAGCTGGCTTCTACTTTTTCTTCAAGACTCAAACCAAACATTTTCCCCTCCAGAAAACCTGGTCAATCCATTCTATCCTCCATCTTCTAAACTGAACTAAATCCTATTCCCATAGTAAAACATAAATACCTGTACTACAGGACTTATAAATAATTGTAATTATCTCACTCCCATAAGACCATGAGTTCCTTGGAAAAAACTTTCTTATTCTTTTTTGTCTCCCCAACATCTAGTAACACAGTAGGTAATAGGTCAATAAACGGTGGTTAAATAATTGAAATAGAGACTATCCAATGAAGTGTAGGTGCTCCTCCCCAAACAAATGGGCCAAAACACATTTAAAAGCTAAAAGGAAGAAGTGAAAGAAAAGAGGACTCTACAGTATGAGGTAAGGATAATCACAGGATCAAAATCCTTTACGAACTGGAAAAATGTATGACTCAACACAGACTGACAAGTAACACTACAAAGAACAGAAACAGTTCTACTGAAATAGCAAAGAAAAACAGGAAGATGGAAGCAAAGACAAAAGATAACATTACTTGTAGGAGAAAGCAAACATGGAGAACTTATATCTGAAGTTCTTAAACCTATGATGGTATCTGCTGCTTAAAAGAAGTCACATGAGGAATTTTTTTCTGCATAAAATGAAAAAGTAGAGTACCAAGATGTAAGCACTCAACGCTAAGTCATGACACCGGGGACGGGGGGGGGGGGTAGGGGGGCTGTTCTAATCCCACTTTATAAAGCACTGCCACTGATATGACCCCAAATACACTTTTTAGCTACTTTAGCACATTGTTTAGCAACTTCCCTAACTCCCAAAGAGTAGCCGAGGCTTATTAAGAAAGTTTTCAAAAAGTGGGAAAGTGGCTAAGAAATATTGTTGACTCCCTAAATGGAGGCAAGAGGAAGACATCAAAGAAAATAAAAGGAATAAGAATGAGGGTAATAATGTTGTGATCTAGATATTCCTGAATCCTCCCATTCCATTCTAGACACTTGGCATTTTATCTTAAGATTTGGCAGCATGTGAAAAATTAAGCAACTGAGAACACGAAATCCTTGTAATGATCATAGCAATAATTCTAGTCACATGCATCTCAGGGATTATTTTATAAAATATGTATTTTATATAATACATAACTTTTGTTACAGCATCTCAGCACCCAAGGAAACCAGAAGCAAGGTCTATGGCAGGCACTTCTACCTACTGTTTTAACCTTCCTCCTTAAGAATACGACTCCAATTTTATTCTGGACAGCACTGCACCTTTTGCCCTTCCTGCTCTCTGGAATGTGGACATAATAACTATTGTTCTAGCAATACTCTTGGATCAAAAGGTAAGCC